AAAAAGGGGGGGGGGGGGGGGTCTGCGTGTTTTGGCCTTTGTACAAGTCACTAAGTGAAGCTCATGGACACTGTGTGCTCGAGTGCCTTGCGCCGGAGGGACGCGATGCTGGTCCCTCTCCACATGTCACTGTCCGGGGAGCTACACAGCTGCGGGGAGCCCGATACGTTCGTGGGGCCGGAGAGCGACGCCGACATGCTGGGGAAAGGCGACTGGTAGAGGTGCGACTGCAGGCCGGAGCCGTTGGACGAGAGGCCGTTGGACAGCCCCATGGAGTTGGGCGGCGGCCCGTGGCCGAGACTGCACTGCGACAGCGACTGCGCCATGCCCGGCGGCTGGCGGCCGAGCGCCGGCGGCAGCTGGAGCTGCGACACGCCCGGCATGCCCGTGGCCCAGCGCGAGTCGTTGGCGTGGAAGGAGCACAGGCTGTTCTCCATGGCGGCCGCTGAAAACTGCGGCAGGCCCGGCGTGGGCAGCAGCGTGCCCGGGGCGCGGAACACGTTGGTGGTCTTCTTCCTCTTCTTCCACTTGGCGCGCCGGTTCTGGAACCACACCTGCGGGCCCAACGGACAACGAGCGGTCACACCGGGATGCGCCGCGTGCTCGAGACGCACCGCTGCCTCATTTCAACGGCGCCGCACGCTATAAATCTCCATTGAGTTTGGGGACCGCCAGTATTTACGTTTGGACGAGTATTGTCTTCGGGATCCATACGTGCAGCTCAGGAAAAAAATATAGTCCACTCCAAAGGGTTCACAGTTTTATTATTTATCGTTATATATTTAATAAAGATAACGAGCCAATAGTCGATAATGACTAATGGTCAAAATGGCCCAAAAAGGCAATCGTTTTCTTTTTTTTCCGTGGTTGTGTGTGTGTGTGTATGTGTGTGTGTGTGTGTGTACATATATACACACACACACACACACACACACACACATACTATATATATATATATATATACACACAGTATATTTTTTTTACATATGTGTAAGGGCTACATACTATATTGTACCTAACATACATACGTCGAGACTAACTTTGATATTTAGTTTTACTTGCTTACTGTTACTATTTTTTATTACCTTGCAAAAGATTGCATTTGAATTTCGTCATTTCTTTATCTATCTGTCTATCTATCCATCAAGCTAGCGTCTTGCAAAATATGCTGCAGTCTTTTGTCTCGAAGGAATAAATAATCAAACGATGTGGTGCATGTTAATCGTCCACAAAATTACAGGACGTCGTTAAAAAAAAGAAGTAAAAGAAATATAATTGCACCTTCAAGCAACTCACAGGGCTGGCCGGCAATCTGAATATTATCACATGCATGTAAGTACGTAATTGCTGAAATAAAAATATATTCACCTTCAACCATGCTGTAATTGTTATGTATATTTAGTAAAGATTCTGCTGTCACACAATAGACAGAATACTGTCTACTGTTGTGAATTTTACTGGAAATAAATACCTCACTATGGCAACCGTGGGAAAATAAATAAGTAACCCCTTTTCGTATTTGTAACGTCACACTAAAGTCATCAAATTTGACAGAAATAACAATTACTCATTTATCGGTCACTTGGTGACAATGCAGATTAAATTAATACACCCCCAAAAATCTATTTGTCGTTGCCTCCGAAAGTGACCTTGAGTGGCCAATCAATAAATCACAATTCTATATATTTATTTTTTTAGTCAAGGAAATGTGAGCATGTCACCAAACGTGAAAGAAAATAGACGTGCCTTTCCATCATTTAAATATTTTTATGGAAGTGTACCAGATGATTAGAGCAATCGATTTGTTTTTAATCGCAGGCGTTTGTGAAGGGCGACCTAAAATGTCACGTTCCCTTTCCGCTTTTCCGAAAACAAAACAAAACAAAACAAAACAATAATACCAACGTAACGCACGTTTTGCAGTGGACAGTTTACGCGTCCAGAACCCCCCAAAAAACACGCGTGGCTTTCGTGAAGATTTCATCACGCTGGGCTGTGATAAACTTGCTCTCATTCCACGCAGCCACGCGTGACGCACCACCCGAGGCTATTACACGACTAGGAGAAAGCAAATGCAATCCCTCATTCCCCCCCCCCCCAACCCCCTCCTTCAAAAAGAGAAGATATTCTTCTCGGGTCCTATTAAGAGCTTCATGATGGAATATTTGAGGACGACCACGTGACCGAATCTAGGTGACTACTAACGATTGGACGACTTTTATCGTTTCCGTGGGATCATTTGCATGCGGTTTCCACTTGGCTGCTAAAAAACATGTTGGCCGTGATCATAAATAAGACCGGAAAGTGGCTGCTGTCTTCTTTGCAAGTCAATATTACGCTTGTAGAAACAAACACGTGTGCAGATAATTTCCTGTTCTTTCTTTTTGTGTGTGTGTGTGTGTGTTGTACAATTTCTGTTTTAACGTTCAAGTGGCGGTGAAAAATCGGTCGTTTTCATCGAGTGTGTGCTTATAGGACGGTTGTGCTCATATACACACACCGCCCCAGCAGAATTTGTGAAATACTGGCAATTTCTTGGGACATTATCACTAATTATTATTGTTATATATATATTTTTTGTAATGTTTGATCATTGCGCTATTCTGGAATGACTTCGTTTCATTCGAATCGAAAAAATGTGTTTTGCCTGTTCACATTCTGAGGAATGACGTAAAATTTAAGAGCGCGACTGCATATTAAAAGTAGTTTCAATGATATTTTTGGGGGTTGGAAAATACACACTGGAAATAGTAAAGCGTTGCTTGATTAAACACAAAAATCGAATCGAGCTATTAAACTGGCATTTTGAGAACTCTTATGAGCTGGTTGACAAGAAATTGGTGACTTTGTTTTTTTTTGCGGCGAATGATCAACGATTTAAGTTAGATTTTCATTTCGACAGATTTGACAATGATAAGATTCATTTTTTTTCTGCTCTATTTCGCCCCCCCCCATTTCCTACGCAGTGCGCGGGTGTTTAGTGTTGAACTATTTGCAGCGCTGCTTCAGCACAACGGACAGCGACACAAAACAACTTTTTTTTTAAAGGCTGCATTTAAACGTTTTATTTTGTTCACGTAAAACTAACTTGACCACTTCGTGATTCTGACGATTTTCAGGGTTATTTAATCAAATGCGCATGGAAGAAAACGGTTGAAGACGAAGTCAACACTGAGTACGTTTGATATGATTCCGAAATGATTCATTGGAACCTTACACGTGAGATTTGCATTGCTGCTGCATCAGTTTTCAGTCCTTCAATCCTACGCTATTTCAAAGGCTTACCTGGACTCTGGACTCGGTCAGGCCGATCCTCAGGGCCAGTTCCTCTCTCATGAAGATGTCCGGGTAGTGGGTCTTGGCGAAGCTGCGCTCCAGTTCGTTGAGCTGCGCCGGCGTGAAGCGGGTTCGGTGCCGTTTCTGTTTCTGCTGACTGGCCTGCCCGCCCGAGCTCTGCTGGGGCTGCTGCTGCTGTTGCTGTTGCTGCTGTTGTTGCTTCTCCGGCTCTTTCCCGTTCACCGGCATACCGGCCGAGTTGGATCCCACGGTGGTGATGTCTTCGCCGGGTAAGAGAGTTGCTCCCTCCACGGAGTCCGAACCCGGGGCCATGTCTCCCGGATGGCCCTGGTCCGGCACCCCGCCGCCGAGCCGACACTTGAGAGCCTCTCGATGTCCGAGTAACTCTGCAGCATCTTTCATCCCTGAGAAGAATAAACAGAGTGTCAATGCATGTCTTTAAAAAGAAAGAAAAAAAAACAACCCACTAATGGAACCAAAATCATGATAAAAATAATAAATTAACCTAATTTAGCTGGGTGTCTTAATCACATTTATGCTGTCAAATGATTCCTAATTCTACAAAAACACTTACGCGTAATTAAATACACACTCAATTGATCTTCCCCCCCAAACACACACACGCATGCACACACAGACGAGCGCGCACACACACAAGGTGAAATAAATAAGAAGTTAAGTCTTACAGTGGAGTTTAGCTCCCGGGTTGAGAGCCGAGAACTCACCGAGCCGAGCATCCAGGAGGTCGGCGTGGGAGAGCATCGCGTAGCGCTCCAGGGCGAAAAGAGGTCCGGGAAAAACGCTCCTACTAACTTCGGGGGCAATTTAAGGGGCATAGATGTTGTAAATGAAGGAAAATTCGCTTTGTGCTTAAAAAAGGAGGTCTCTTGCATTATAATGGCCCTTAGAAGGCTGGGAGGCGCTTATTAGTGGAGCCAAGCCGTCAGCTTCCTCAAATAAGAACCAATCAGAGGCAAGGATTGGACCCAACCGACACCCCCAAACACCCAGACCCCCACCCACCTTTCTTGTTGTGTGTGTATTTTAAAGGTACGCACGCGCCCAGACCCAACGCGCACGCGTAAAAAAAAAAAGCACTACAATTTAATTCTGCCATACCATCCTCTGATTTATTAGCTTTTTCATGCTCAAATTATTCCACGTTAAAACGTCTTAATGTGTTTGTTTAATCTGTGCGAGGGCTGCGGGACACCTGCTTGCGAGATGAACACACGCGTGAAATGTCCCCACTTAGAATATAAAAAAAAAAAAGAAAAAGAGAGAGCGGAATTAATGTCAAATTGCAAAACAATTGCACTATACGGCGAGTGTGCACGCAACATCGATAACAAATAACAATCCGGGGATGTGAATTTAAAACTCAAGTGCATGCATGCAAATGAGCCAGATGATTTCTTTTTTAAACGGTTGCACAAACAAAACAAATATGCGTCCCGGTCCCGGCTGGCAGGTGATTTGTGGAGACAAATGGAGGAAATAAATAAATAAAGGAGTACAGATGGATCGCGGCTCCGTTTAGTGATCGGACCGCTTTAACTCCCATCGACTTTTCATCAAGGCGTTGGCAATTAGAGCCATTTAGGCCCGCTTTGCTTGGAACTAAATCAGACGTGCAGGAGCCTAAACGCTTGCCCCCGTCTTGCAGGGGGGGGGGGCGTCCATAAGAAGGACTGTTACACAATTAAAAAAAGAGGGGACAAGCATTGATCTGAAACTCGTCTACCCACCGTGAAGGCTGCGTGGCGCGTGGGGGATTTTGAATATTTTGTATTTTAGGGGGCGGTGGGGGGGGGGGGATTTTTTTTTTTTCTTCCCGGGGCAGATGTTCGGGTTGAGGCCGGAGAATGGAGCAGCACAGCCCGGGATTTGACAAAGGGCGCGTCCGAGCGAGGAGTCCTTTCTCCCTCTCTCTCGAACCTCCACATGGTGCTTTGTACTCAACCTGTCCGGATGCAAAGAAGCAGCGCAGCGTGGAAAAAACGCAAGCAAATGGACCGGTACGTGCAGGGGATGAAGAGGGATCCAGAACTTCATCATCATCATCATCATCATCATCATGAGGGGCCGTGAATTTAGTGAGGGAAGAGGAGGAAAGGGATTGTGAAGCCAAGTTTGTTTTATTATTATTATTATTATTATATATGACGATATTAATACATGACATATGACTTGCAGTATGATTCTCACAATGCCAAATACAATATAGCACATTTACTGCTTTACTTTGCATAATTACATCGGATGTGTATTGAATAAAACTACAGCTAACCGTCACAATTTTGTACAATAACAAAAGCAACAAAAAATAATATAGCAACGCAACCATGTTCATCATCATTAAAGCATGTCCATATGGTACTGTGATTTTCCAATGTAGGTCTAATAAATTAATATATGAAGACAACAGTAATGATAATAAATGGATATTCTGTTTTAAGAGCGTAATAAATGTAATAAAGACCGATGCAAAGAAGCAGCGCAGCGTGGAAAAAACGCAAGCAAATGGACCGGTACGTGCAGGGGATGAAGAGGGATCCAGAACTTCATCATCATCATCATCATCATCATCATGAGGGGCCGTGAATTTAGTGAGGGAAGAGGAGGAAAGGGATTGTGAAGCCAAGTTTGTTTTATTATTATTATTATTATTATTATGAGAAGGTTCTGAAAGGGGTCCGAAGACTAGTAAAATCCGGTTCGGACAGAAAGTTAAAAATAAAACTACAGCTAACCGTCACAATTTTGTACAATAACAAAAGCAACAAAAAATAATATAGCAACGCAACCATGTTCATCATCATTAAAGCATGTCCATATGGTACTGTGATTTTCCAATGTAGGTCTAATAAATTAATATATGAAGACAACAGTCATGATAATAAATGGATATTCTGTTTTAAGAGCGTAATAAATGTAATAAAGACCATGCCAATGCAAATAGTGCGATTAACACTTTATGAGGCACTCGGTGAAATGTTTAAAATAATTTCACACAAGCGCCACAATTTTTCATTTTTCATCTGTATCATTATCACACAGGAGTAAAAAAAAAATAGTAATTAAGGATAGTCTATATTGGTCTTCATGTTTGATATTTTGGGGATGGGTGCCAGAAATCGAGTGCGAAAATTGCTGTTTTGTTGTAGGCGAAGAAGGCAAAGTAATCAGTAGGAATCTCTTGTGCTGTTGGCGCCTGCGACTCTTGCCTTTATTGGCGTAATAAGAGCGAGACACTTGTACGGGCTCTATGTCTCACTCAGCCTCCCTAACTGGACCACATCAATCTTTCTGCTTTGCAGTGGAAACACTCGCGCGCAATCCGCGCGGGTTAATGCGGCGCATCTGAGTGCACGCGGGACTGTTTACACGCCAAGAGACACACTTTGAATGAACATACACCACCACACACAAAAAAACAAAACAAAACAAAACCCCCAAAAAACAAATGCAATTTTGTCGAGCAATAAGATCAACTTTTCCGTGAGCGCCATTTTTTTTTTTTTTGGTCACCTCGACTGCGTTCCATCCACTGCGCAAAAGAAAAAAACGGATAAACGCGGGACTATAGACACCGTATTTTGATTGTATTAGGCCGAACACTTTTGAGGCACACGCGCATTCACTCGCTGAAGGGGGTAAATCGATGTTCCATCTATACAGAAATGGTTGAAATGGCATTTGTGTGTGTGCAGGTGATTTGACGACGGTCCAATGAGTACATCCGACCCCCCCCACCCTCCTCGCCCCGCCCCCCCTGCAGCCCCCCTTCCACTCCTCATGACAGGCTTCCCTCTCCGGCCATCCAGTTTGGCTGCAACACGGCGTGCATCCCGAGCCCCAATTAGGCCCGCCGCCCCTCGCCTGCTCCCCAGTACTGCGTGATCTCTTGCACATGGCGGTAATCACAGGCTCCAAATAAAATAATCAGCAAAGAAGAGCCATTTCCTTAATGATGAAGAGGAGGAGTGTGGCACGCAGAGGCTGAATTGCGGCGCGCGTGCATGTGCGTGTGTGGCGGAGGGGTTATTAAAAACAAAAAACAAAAAAAAAATCGAGTCATTAGGCCACAATATTAGGTACACCTGCGCCATGGCCTAAATAATAACGCAGACTTATTAAAACATTTAAAACATTAGAGGCGCAACGATGAATCTACAACTAATAATCAAACTTTCCAAATCCTCAAAATTTCGGCTTCTCACCAGTAAACCTTGTACAATTTCTGTCGTCATCCACGAAAGCAGACTGATTATGTTTTTTTTGTTTTTGTTTTTTTTTGTTTTTTTTTTTTAATAAATCTGCTTATGTTTTGTAAAACAATGACAAACATTATTTTTTTACCATGCACTTTTCTGATATGTTCTGAACCAAACCAGGAACTGAATCATAACACCAGTCAACAGCAAATTTTATTCAGGGAAGGCTCTATGTGTCCCTTCATGTGTTTTTGACGCAGATGTAAAAATGCATTTAGTTTCTTTTCTTCTGCATCAGGTTTTTGAGATGCTTTCATTTTTTCTTTTCACATTTGACCTGTAAGAGCTTGCAGAATATGAATTTTAATGGCTATGACGTTTCAAAAAGAAATTACCCCTGCTGCAGAACCTAACCCTTAATTCATCCATCCATCTATTTTGAAGAGGGTCGCGGGCGTGCCGGAGCCGATCCGGGCTGTCTTTGGGCAGTAGGCGGGGGACACCCTGAACCGGTTGCCAGCAAATGGCAGGGAGCCGAACAACCATCCATGCTCACACTCACACCTTGGGACAAATTTGAGTGTTCCATTAACCTGCCATGCATGTTTTTGGAATGTGGGAGGAAACGGGAGTACCCGGAGAAAACCCATGCAGGCATGGGGAGAACATGCAAACTCCACACAGGAAGGCCGGAGTTGAACCCTGCTCCTCTGCACTATGAGGCCGGCGTGCTAACCAGTCGACCCCTTTAATTCATAAATATTAGATATATTATTAAAACATGATGCATTTGAGAAAAACGAGGACAGATTTGGAATCAGCTAAAAAAATACAGGTCGTAAAGTTTATTTAAAAAAAAAAAAAATCAATAAAGTTGATCAACTGTCCATAATCTCATCCACCTTCACAATGGCTCCAGTTCCAAGTGAAGAAATACAACCCTGGACATTGTAACTGGAGCTTTGCTGCTCTGTGCGCTCTTAATATTTTCTAATATTTTCACCTGTCATGTAATTAAAATGCAAGAAAAATGTAATGTAGCAAACGATGTCAAGGTGAAAAGTCGGACATAGCTGTAGGTGACTAATTTTGTTGTCACTGAGTGAACAAAAAGAAATCACCCCTCTTGAAAAAGCACATGTATGTATGCAAACCCTCTCGCTGATTCTCCTTCGAAATGCCATCAATATTCATCGAAACATCAGGAGAAAAATATCAACATCTGATTTCCCGCTTGACTCCGCGGCAGCCCTTTTGCACGTCTCATCCACACTGTGAAAAATCTAAATAACCAGCAACAGCCTTCATTCATCAGGACGCGAGATGATTCCCGGAATACAGATGCATATTTTATTAGAGAGGTGACGTGATGCCACCGTAGCTCGAAATGTCACATTTTTTTTCATTAAAAAGAACACCAAATGACTTACGATCTGCTTCTCTTTTTTTTGAATAGTCCACATTGTCAACATATTAAAGGCTCCAAAGGCCACCAGCCAAACAAATCCCGCACGGATATATTTTGACAGCCCGTTACAGCTGCAAGCATCCACCGAAGCTTTGTGATGCTTTCCCCGATTCCTCATCTTGCCGGTGTGCGCTTTTTCGCCACTCCGCATTGTTCCGAAAATAAAGCAAATTGATTAATAAAGAACCGTCTTTAATTACACTTGAAAGAGAGGCTAAATATTGAAGTGAATGGGGGTCAGAAGATTAACTATGACGCCTTAATATAGTGTTGTTTACATCCCATTCTTTGACTTTCCCTCTAGTTCTGCTCCAG